TAGAAGGACTATGAATCTGTAAAAGTACACAGTATTCCAGCTTGTGAATTAATAAAAATTGAGTTAGAAACATATTGACTTTAATCATTTAAATATTATATATGAAATACTCTAAATTTGTTTGCACAAAGTGAACACTTTGAAAGTATATCAACACAAATTCAACAATCCAAATCTGCATTCTATACAGCAATAAACATAATGATATTCTCAGAATTGCTTCTCAATTCGCAGCGTCGCAGTGTTCCCATTCTCGAATTGCGGCCTTATATGAACTCGACCGCAGTTCCAGTTATCTGAAAATTACTAAAATGTTCAAAAAAAAAAGAACAACACATACTTCTGCGTTTTATCTGTAATGAATACGTAATATTGGCATTACATTTTTACAAGTTGTATCCAACTAACTCTTCACTTAGGTTGTGAAAGATTCTTGAGCAAATGACGCGTGCGAATTTGTAATATTCGAACGTTTATAGTTCTTAATGATAATATGACTTAAACCATTTTTGTATGGTTTAAGTCCCATTTTGTATGTTTTAAGTCCCAACCCAACTTTGTGTTTTCTAATTAAACAAAAAAAATATATAATCCAAAAGTGTTGGCGCCATTTTTGAAAAGTTTTTAAAATGTGGTTGGGGCTGTAAGCAAAGTACCCCCCATAATTCGGGAGGGTGGTTCAAATTCGAGGAGTCGAGACATCAGCTTGACCTATTACATGCTATCAGTTTTGGTGCAAATCCTATAAATTATTTAGGCATTAATGTAGACAGATGAAACCGACCGACTGACCAACAGATGGATTCACGTAAACCACACTTTAGGCATCAAGGTCCCACAAAACCTGGGTTTTTACTTCACAACGCGTTTACAGAAGTCATTTAGTACATTTAGAAGCATCCACCTTTTCGGTTTCATTCGCAATACGAGTTTTTCTGTCTAAAAAGAGCCATTTTGTAATGAAGCATTGCAACACGTTTTCTACATTTTGTAAGTAGTATACGGGAAAGTAAAACGTTTACAATGAAAAGATATAATTGTATTAGTTTCCTTTTATATAATTGTTTTATTCAAACATTAGAACAACGTGGTTCAATCTTTATTTCTGGAAGATATCTCGGCCCGTATCAGAAAATTATCTTAAAATTATCTTCTACCCCATACGTTATATACAGTTTTTACTGTTATTTGACTAAATAAATATAAGATAAATAAGGAAGTCCTTGTTTTAATTTTCACGCATGTCGTTTGATGTCTGAGGTAGTGATGATTGATGTTCTTTTCGGACACATTTTTCTAAGACTGTCAACTTGCTATGAATATTTTGTTGGGCGTAGGACATAAACTACTGAGAAACATAGAGCTATTTTATTACATATTCGGCTAATGTTTAGCTACGATCTTTCGAAGAAAAGATTATGAAAATAGACGGTTATACAATAAGCGAACTTAATGTTTGTCAATAACATTATTCAAATCTGTTGCAGCAACCGAACTGGTCCAGTGACTTTTCTTGTCATCATTAGATCCCTGCTTGTAATTTCGACCTTTCCTCAGAGTAATTGCTTTTTTACAGGCCTAGAGATTATCATGAAATTATTTCGAGTAAATTGCTCAGTAATTTTCCTGTCTGAATATAGCATGTTTAATTAACTGGTTTTATTTGCGATAAATAGAATATGTGTATGCTATTAAATGCCGTAAAACTTTTAGAGACAAATATATTTTCGGCAATGTTCTACGTATCATGAAAGAATACGAATAAAACTAGTAATGCAACCACATGTAGTAGATATTCTCATACCAAATTTATGGGTACGTACCTTTTAAATAATTTAAATGTGGTGTGTAATGCATTGCTGTGGGAAATTTGCTCAAAGAATCGCGTTGGAAACTGAGCGAAAACTCTTAACTACCGAGGAGCCATACAACACCTTCTATTACTAAAGAAGGTACTGAGCCATACAGCACCGAAAGAAACTAGCACTAGTAGTCTAGTCAAATGATGCTCAAAATTAATCAATGTTAATAGAGGATTACTTCTATAAATAGCGCGATTATTAAAAGAGGATTACTCCCATGCGCAAAGCGCTCAACTGCCCCAGAATTTGGAGACGCGTTGCGTCAATTCAGAGGCAACATTTTTGTTCTTCTTTTTTTTATGGCAAATAGAGGAAAGTTTTGGTGTAGTTTTGATATTTTTGCTGTATGTATTTTCTGGGTCGCAGAACACGAATATCAGGTTAGCCAACAAAAATTTCGTCCAAAAACACATTTTTCTCGTAAAAAACGAAAAAATCCGACAGTTTTCAGTTTTTTCAAAATAACTCGAAAATCATCCACTTTTTGGAAATAATGGTTCTATATGATTAAAAGAAGATAAAATTGCCTACATTTTAAGTCTGAAGGGATTTTTGCTCTAATCTGCCATTTAGCCGCTAGAGCAAAGTGAATTTTGGTGTTTTTATGAAGAAAATTCTGAAAACGGGATTCATCCCATTTTATCTCAATGTAGCTCAAAAACTACGCACTTATCGAAAATATTGACCTCAAGTGAAATGAAAGATGATACAATTGTCTACATTGTAAGATCTAGAGGTTCTTTGTCTGATAAACAGTTTAACCGCAGCCGCGCGTGGAACCCAACGCCAAAAAATACTTGTTACAGTGATAATGACACCTCACATATCTTCTCTCACTAACTCTCTAACTTCTATACATAACTATAATTAAACACAAGAAATATAGTTGCCTGCTACTAAATATGTCGGCTGATGAATCATTCCTACTGAAAAAAAGAAAGCTGGTAATTAATAAGATAAAAAAAGAAAATTAAAATAGGCCTCTGGAATTTGCAATGGGTAATTTAATTTTCTGAGATATTTTACGTGAAGTCTCAAGGACATTTTCAATATTTTCTCAAAAATGGCTCCAAATTTTTGGATTTTTCTTGTTTTTTATTGGATACAGTAAGGTAAGCTTGTAAAACTGGTATAGGTCTGATTTTCGTTAAATTCTCTGAATTTAATGTCTTTAGGAAACAATTTCTCGTCTGCCTTTAACCACAATATTAAAGGTAGAAATTTTTCTTCTGAATGAAATCTGTTCTTCAAAAGTATATGTTTAATTTAGCTCTTATACAATTTTTCCAAAGAAGATTAGTTCTGGCATATTTTTATATGAAATAAAGGCAATTTTAAAAACCAAGATTTTCTCCAAAATCGATCTAATTTTTTTTTTTTTTAGATTTTACAATGGATAGTGTAAAGTACGATTATAAAAATGATTGTACAAATGTTCATTTAACTCTGAATTTTCAAAACTCGCAAAACTTAGAAATAAAGCAAGAAAGCATGATGGGTCAAAACCACTAATTTTTAAATAATATAGTATTTTGCTTCCAACACAATTAACATACTAATTTGAATATGACCTGTGTACACTTCCATGCTTCAATTCCACCTTACAAATCATTTGAATTACAATCCCCCATTTTCCACACACTGCCCTATATGTATTTTGTAATGTTTTTGTTCATCTTCAGGTTAAATAAGAAACATTTGGTCACCTAAACAATATGCATTTTATGCAAAAAATATTTATTTTTGCAGTAATTATAAAGAAATGGGTCTATTGTTTTGGTGTTAACCCTCACCTTCCTCCTATTTACCTATTTACCTTCCCTCACCTTCCTCCAGAACAATTTCATTTGTGACCCATTGTTCCTATATAAGTTGTGGTAAAATTGAACAAGATCATTAAGTGAATGTTCAATATAGCAAACAACAAATATATTAAATGTCAAAGTTGTAAAGAACTATATAAAAATATGCATATGTGTTAATATGTCCTGTAGTTAAATGCAGTACAGCATGTATCAGGTAACTTTTGGAAACCCGTTTCTGTTGAAGAAGTGTGATGGGGAATCGTATGTTGAAGTTTATACCAAATATTGTACTCCAAAAGTTTGTCTTTATTTTGAAATTAATTTTGTTTTTGAAAATGTAAAATTAAATTCTGTGTATTTCTTTTCTTTTTTAACATGTTTATGTAACACAACTTGAACAGATTTTGAAAATGTGTGTTCTAAGAAAGGTAAAAAATATATATTAAATTTTCAGAAATATTAGCAATATGTTAATTTCTGTTATCCCCATAGCAAAATGACTTCACATAAAATCTAAGTGGCCTTGAATAGAATTTCTAGAGGCAATTTCAGTGGTGTAGTTCAGTGCCAGTTCGTGCATGTTTCTTTAGAGAAAGAGCTTACAAGGCATAAACTTCTTCAAATGAAACATATTAGAAACTAGATTAAATGCATTGACAAGTGATGGAATAAGAGAAATAGATCTATCGATTTGGTTTTCCAGTGATTTCTATCAGTCTACATTGTGAATTTACCTCAGCTGCCCATGTCTGACTTTGTCAGCCGGAATTTGACTCACTACATAGTTAATATACACATAATGGTCATCACCCATAACTCATGCACCTTTTTAAAAAAGAAGCCAAAAGGGAGTGTATTTGTCATATATGGTCCAGACTACCATATAGCTCCATTTAAAAACTTTTCCTTTTGTGGCCAATACAATGCTGAGAGTAATGGATAAATAACATCCAAGAGGAGGAGGAAAAACAGAGTTCCTCTTCAGAGTGACTTCAATTGATTTAAAATGTGTTTGGGTCACTTAAAGATGCATGGAGTTTAAAACATGATCCAAATAAATTTTCTCATAAATATTAACTCAAAAACTATAGATTTTCCTTCAAACATTAAACCAAATATATTACTTCTTAATTACATTCAGAAGAAGAAAATAATATGTGAGAAGGTACTCTGCTTCCTTTCCCTCCCCCCAGAAATTGCCACTGGAGTAGTTTCTGAGAAGTAGCCGAGAAAACTGAAATCCATAAAGAAACTCTCACAAAGAGAAGGCAAATTAGATTATATCTGGCATGTTTTGAACCTGAATTATTTTATTTTACTTAAATCTCCTTTCTGAATATCATTTCAGTTCATACTTGTTTTGATACAAGAAATATTTTTTGTGATTTTGTTTAAACATCAATATATCTATATGTGATTGGTTTCCTTTTTGAGAAAGTACAAGCCTTTTACAGCGACCATTAATACATTCCTAACTTCTAAGAAATCTTGAGAATTCATTTTTGCAAGAAGAATTTGAAGAGAATACAGAAAGTTAAGTAAGGAATAAAAAAACATCAATTTACATTCATTTCTGTATAATTACTCACAATAAGTCACAATTTATGTGTACAAATAATTTATTTCAACAAATACTTCTCCATACTAAAATATACAAAACACAGTATAGTAGAGGCAATAGAGGAGCTTGGGGCAGTGGTATGGGCAAGATAATCCCCCTCACATTGCATTTTGGGTCCAGGCCAAAGGCACCAGCTCACAGAACATTAAAGTTTTAATTCCCTTGTTTAGAGTGTACTTATATGTATTTTTGAAGGACATTTTGTCTTGTTTTCTGACACATGAAGTACACATTATTCTGTGTTCTAGAATGCTACTTTATAAATATTACTCCATTCCTTTCAAACACATTATCTCAGTGAAAATTATTAATCTTTAGGAAAGAAGAGGCAAGATAATATGTTAAACAGATCTGCTAACTATACACATTTGAAAATTACACTGATGACTAAAAAAATTGATATTGAATTTCAACTGTGAAAATTACTCCTCTTTGTTTTATGATACTGAAAATACTATTATCTAGAGAAGTAATTTTAGAAACTTGAAGAATGACAAACTTAAGCAAAACATAATACATGTGGCAATTATTATTTCAATGTTACACTTTAACAAAATTTGCATAATGCAAATAGGTTTCAAGTTTCCTAATGATTTTCTTCTAACTACTTTCATAATCTTCAGTATATAAATACATGGAACCAGTTACTGCATATCAGGCAAGAATATTTCCAATACAAAATATTATTTGAAAAAATAGTATGGTGATGTGAATGGACATGGTTTGCATTATCTATTAACTATAAGAAAAGCCATTATAAAAATACAGACATTTCCAATTTAGAAAAAACACATCAAACCATACACAGGACATATAATTACACCTTCAATTTTAAGATAAAAATATACTTTTCATTGAAAAACTATTCAGTCACAATTAATACCATTAATTTTTTTATGAAGCAAAAAAGACTTTTCAAAATATGTCTACAGAAATACTTAAATTTATGTATTAAACATCAGCAGAAAAATTACAATTCCTTAAGAAATTTATAATCTAGATAAATTTACAAACTACCATGTGCACAAATCTAGGAATGTAAAATCTGAGGACATGGAATTTTTCTTAAGAAAACAATTAAAGAAACAAATCTTAGTTCACAAAATTTCCAATTACAAAGTGAAAGCTACCATTTTTACCAAAACTACAGATATTATCAATTCTTAAACATAATGCTTATGGACATTTTTAAAACACTGATTGCTTAAAAAAGGAATCAAAAAACATTCAGTGTGACTCATTCAGACAAAATTGCCTTACTATTCTACAACAGATAAACAAGAGGTAGTAAACTTTTCTGCCTATTCTTTTAAACAACTTCCTAAGATTTTCTTATGCATTAACATCAATAATTCCAATTTGTTTTGTATATATTTGTAATATTTAGAGTCCAAAATCTCACAGCACTAACATTTATATGAACTGACAAGAAGAAATATGAGGTACATATTAAAGGCAAATAAGAAAAGTTTTTTTGTTTGTTTTTTTTTATGCATTAAATAACAAGAGTGCCTTGCAAATGGTAAGTTGGGCTTCAAAATAGATTCTTCTAAGAATTAGAATCAATGTAACATTGTAACACAAATGACATTTTAATGATGCTTCACATTGTGATAAAAATTTAATAAAAAAGTTTCAAAAGAAAGTAGCAAAGACTGACAATCCACAGTTGGTGGCCGTGACCCAGTGATGACTAGGCTGCTGAGGGGGATGTAAATCGGATATTGCAATGGCAAAGAGGTGCAGAGGGATGTTTAGGACAACAGAAAAATACAATACAAACATGACACAATTCCTAGGCATACTGATACAGTACAACTTATGCACGTGCGCCGTGCAAACACTTGTCAGCTAGTTTTGTACAAAAAATACACTATTTAGTCTGACACTTGTGCAGTGACTTCCATGAATATATTAGATATGACATACATTGTTACAAGCATTCCATAGTGGCTCAATTTCCCACAGATTCAGACAAGCATGCATTCCTTGACTTTGGTTTGTGGTGGCCAAAATGACCATGACATTGGAAATGTGACCATGTGATCGGATAACCTGATCCATTTCCACATAAAACGTGTCTTTTATGACTATTATTATCTTTTGCTGAAAAAGATTGCAATTAGTTTCGAGTGTCACTTGTTATATTATATATTAGTTTGTGAACAGGTAAATTGAATATATTTTCATGTACTCTGAATCCATGGTAACCATGACATATTTTCTTAAATCATGGTATTTCATTGATGTTAAAAGACACGCCAGCGGACAAAATATGGCATACATTTTCAGTTGTATTTTCTGAATTTTTGATTCTTAAAAATACATCTACTTTACTTGTCCTCTTTCACTCATATTCCAGCCCAAAAGCATCTTATAAAAAGATGCCACATCCTTTCTTCCTTTAAATTTCTGCTTTCAGTGAAACATTGGTCTTAAATTATTGTTGTTCATTACTGGATGAAGCAGTTTCTTCACCACCTTCTTCTGCTTCCATGGCATCAGTCATTCCAGCAATCTCTAACCAATGGTTCTTATTTTGTCGCACACCTTCAACGAGAGGTTCTAACTTGTCTGACAATTGGGCAAATGCCTAAAAATAAAGTGAAAATTACTGAAATTATCTCTCAATGAAGCAAAAAAATATCATTCTAATTCTTAAGTAACATTACTTAGAAGAGAAATTAAAACAATTGTTTATTCACAATTAAGGAATACAACTTTGTTATCAAGGAAATATTATTTGTTCCATGCGTAATATAAAACACGGCATTAGTCATGATGTTTGATGTTTAACTTCTGGCAAAGATGAAATAAAACAAATACTGATCGTACACATATATGGAGAAAACAAGTTTAAAAAAAGAAAATTTAATAAAAATATTACACAATTTACTTTTGCAAAACTTTTCTAAACCCACATCTAAATCTTATCTAGTTTTGAAGTTTTTTTCAACAAAAATATGATATTTTACAACAATTACCTCATAGATTGGTAAACAAATTGAATCAATGAAGCCCACTTGCATCATTGGGAGTTGGTCTTCTTTCTCACGATTCATAATATCCTGGAAAATCAAAAGTAAATTGTTAACATTGTTCCAAATTTATCTATTATCACCATCCATAACCATCTTGATCTATAACCATCTCAATCAGGTTTTTGTTCAGTTTCCCAGGTACTTAGGGGAAATGCTGAGATGGCCCCTTATGTTGCTTCTGAACAGTAACGCTTTGCTCTCTCCACCCAAGACTATTGACTCATCATATGAGATTGTAATTGTATATGTGATAAAATGCAATTTAATGGGTCGCAATTCTGTAGTGCAAGTCTTAATGCTGCTCATGTAACTGCTCATTTTCTAGAAAGGACAAACCAAGTGGATCTCATAAAACTCTCTAAATGGAAAGGGATGAGTAGAATAGAGTGAAATATATATAATTAGTTATTGTTGTCAGAATTTTGTCAAGCCTTGGTTATAACTAAAAGTCGTCATACTGTTAACAGTTGGCACAATATACAGAAGCTCAGCACAGACTATGCTCTTGGCATATTAGTGAATAATGGTGAAGTAGTTGTTCCTTTGCAGTGTAATATTCGAATTTTCACTTTGAACTATGTGTATATGCTGCACCAAATAGTTCTCCTAGCATTACTAATAGGCAACGAAGACAAAGTAACAAAAAAAGTGCCAATGCTATGTCCTTTGATATAGATACTGCTATATTTTAGAGAGATAATGAAATTAGTCACTTCAAAACAATTTAAACAATTCTAAAAAGGTTTTGTTTCTTATGTTTTTGATCATGCAAAGAGAGCCATAATCATTATACTTATCGTAAAGAGAAAAATTGCATTTTGTTTTCTGTAGAAAATTTCATTATCCTATCATCAATTAATTACTAACAATACTTGGGTTGAAATACAATAAAAACAAAAAAGTATTTTGCAAATTAATAACAATTTAAAATAAACATAGAAGAATACAATTTTGGAACTTACAATGGGAGTGATCTTCAGTTCCTGTCTCTCAATGTCACCTTGTTCAAAGAACTCACTGGACACAAGTTCAGCAACACGTTTTTCCACCTCCCAAGGCTTTGTAATAGCTGCTAGATCACACACAGTCATCGTCATGGCACGGAGCAGCTCACGTTGTTCTTCACAGTGCCAGAGGGATCCTCCAGGTGAACCAGCTCCGGATCTCACTAACGAAAGGAAGGAGCCTCTTTTCCTGCAACATCACAAAACAAAATTTCATTTCTAGAGATTTCCACAAGTTCATTATTAGTTAACAACCACAATAGTTAACAAAATGTGTACATTTTTGAAGATGTTTAAAATTAAAGGAAAAACTGGAACTAAATTTTCATCTTCAAATAAGATATTCACTTTAAATTTTTTGTGTAATGTTAAATACTTCAACTGAGATTTTCAAATTGCTTTCCAAGCTTCACAAAAATAATTTATCCATTAATGTGCTTATGTTTACAATAAAAGGATATTTTATAAGTTTGTAGCAATTTTAGATCTAATGACAAGTGTTTGTATTCATATAAACATTTCAAATACATGGAATAAGAGAGCATTTGGTGTCACAGAAATGTGTATAAAATATGAGCTTTATAGACACTAATAAGTACTTCAAAATTACTGTTTTATAAAAAGTAGAATGTTTTTTCTATTTTACCTGAAGTAAACAGCCAGGTCTGTTGAAAGGATTGCATCTTCTAGAACTTTTATTATTCGTGAATATTCATCTGAAGTCACATTTGCAAGAATTTGATTTCCCTACAGAGAAAATTTTCATTAGTGCTACCTTCACACAGTAGATCAGCGATAACAAATCGAGTGATGTAACTTTATCAATTTTTAATTTTGCAAAAATATATTATGTCACAGGACATGTAAGGTGGCAAGACATGTATGTTTACTGTGCCTTTCAGTTTACCTTTACCTAACTGTCAGAACTTTTGTTTTTTCATTCCCTTATTGAATTACTTTTTTATTTTTAACGGAAGATTCTCTCCAAATATACATGAAGAATTGATGATTTTTCGCATAAACAACTTTACCAGGAATATGCTTGGTTGCATTACGATTTCAAATAATAATAAAAAAAATGTTCTGTACCATGCTGTTAAAGGACTTCATAGCAAATCTAGAGCATACCTGACTACTGAGAATCATGATGCACTGGTCAAAATGATGGTGTTCCATTGTAGAGGTAGAATACAACTGCGCCAAAGGTGATGAGGCTCTGAGACAATAATGGTAATGAGAGTTAAAATGCAAAACAAAATATAATATGCAATGAAAGACTTCTTTTGAATATCTTGTTTCTTTTATTATTTTATTTTACAATTTTGATATTAATATATAATTTGCTATTTTAGTTGTTTCATGACAATTGTTTTCATTTGAAAAATACATATTTGCTACTCAAAACTCATGAGTGATCTCAATAATTCAATATCCACATTCTATCCTGCCTCTAATAAAATTTCACAATACTAATTGCAATACATCAATAAAAACATTTTCTTACTTGATCTGGAAAGAATTGTTGGTACCTCGGTGGTCCAAATCATGACAAAGACAGGCAATTAGTAATGCCAGACATTCAATCTCCCCTAGCGACTTCCACCATTGAGTGGTCTGAAACAAACAAGAATACAATATGTAAGATGTGCAATAAACACACAATTTGCACTCCCATGTGTTAATTTACTGAAAACTGGTGAAAAATAAATTGTACAATTAAATTTTTGTACTAATGGGTAAGATTTACATTTTCAGAAACAAAATTGGTTTTCAATGTCGTGCAGATAATATTAAAGAGTAATTTTCCATTGAGAACTCGTTTTCATTAGAAAGAGAAATAATTATTGAACAACATGTACCATATATCATAAGTTATCTTGGGCTCTTGAAAACTAAAGCACTTTGGATATTATGTATTACATGGTGTATGTTGAATGTAACTTTACTTCCAACAAAATTGTGTGTTGTTTCATCATAAATGTCACTTCAAAAAATCTGTTGCACTCGGTTTCACCTCAATTTGGTTTTCTTGTTAATATTATTCGTCTCTTTGTTCTATTAGTAAACTTCAAAAAAAGAGAAGGGGAGACAGAAAAAAATAACAAATAGTGGCAAGGGAGGAAGTAAAAGGAAATACATACTGTAATAATGGCAAACATCATCTGGGCAACATTGAAAGCATGTCGCCAATTGTGGTATGTAACTTGGCGGTAATTCTTCTTTACACTTAATAACCACCTGCAGAGTACTTCATAGTCAATATGGAATCGCTCTATGAAGTCTAGGTCTAGGAACATTCTTATACATGCCTGAAAAAACATACAAAATTAAACAATGTCAGTAAATTACAATACTTTCTCTAAATATAATACTACGGAATTATTTTGTATATCTAGATTATATGGATTAGCTGTTTGCTTTTCATGAGCATTAATTCTTTGAAATTGAAATTTTACCAAATTTATGAAATCAGTTACAATGAATAATATGGTAGATGTAAAACAATAATGAAAAATACTTTGAACACTGCCTTGTATTTAAATTAAAATTTTTGGAAATAGGATATTTAGTCACTTTCTAAATTTGTTTTCTATGACATAATGAATTACCTTCAAAGTGTCATCATCATCCATATGGATATCATCAAACTTGAAGTCATGTAACCCGAAATGCTGGGAGGATGGAACACGAAGGTTCTGTAACAGTATCATCATATTTATATTGGGGTTTGATATTGTTGCTTTCATATGTTTTATTTATTTTCACATGCAACTACTGCTGCAATTATTAAAATATTCATAAATGAATTTACACTACTATATTAATTAATATCTCAGTATAGTTTGTGATTAAGAAACCATGTTTACATCGCAAGAGAACAATTTTTTTGCACATACTATTCTAAACTCTGTATTATACACTTTAATTTTAGAAAACAGAGAAAAATAATATTTTTATTTCACATCATCTGAGCCAATTAAATTGACAAAAACTAGATATTACCTATTTATCAGAATTC